AAAATGTTTAACTACAAAGCAGGGAAGGCTTACTTTCGCAAACGTTGCAATAAATTAAGTTGAAGCGATAAAACGCCGACATATATATGCGTTTACTCTTCAAACAAGGAGTGCCAAAACTGCAGACGTAGGACATTCTTTTGCCTTTTATCAGCAAATAATTTTATCTACTTCAAACATATTTAAAGGTCCTAATTTATGTTTTATAATTTATGAGGTCACTGTAGTTACAGCCTATATGAGATGCAATCGAATAGCAATCTGTTGTCCCCTAGTGCTGAAATTACAATTTTAAAGTTCTAGTAAAAGTAGAACTGAAATTTCCAAAAAGAAACATAACTCTTGTTTCATGTGAATATTATTGCAAATTTTCGAAAATAATTATAAATGAATAAAAGGTCATGATGACAGGAAGCTAGATAGAAAAAGGTAGATTTGAACAAATTATTCTGCAAATGTTAATGCAATGTGTGTGCCCGATTTAAAAAGCAATAAAATTGAGGTTTCGTCCCGCTCTTTTTGCTTTCAAATTTGGCCATAGCAAATAATCCGTTTTTACAGAGCCATGGAGATTCAAACGGCTAGAACATTTTTATGTCTATCTAACCGATGATTGAAAAGAATTTTTAAGCAAATAGACTGGTCCAAACTTACTTTCCTGTTAGCCTAACTAAGCGCGCAAGTCGACGTGTGGAAGGTGGGCGTCTTGTTTACGATTACATTGTGACATAACAATTCAAGCGCAATTAATAGATAAAATACCAAAACAACAAATGCGTCAAGACCCGCATGGAAAATATTTTTGGTAATACTTCTTGCAAGGCATAGAATTTCATGTACTACAAGTTACCACTATATTTAGAAGTATTTAGAAGTAACATACGGTTTTACGCCAATACTGTTTATATGTGTACCGGGACTCATAAATGCCATATGCCATGCAAGAGAACTGACAAATATCTGACCTAAACAAAACAAATTAAGTGACAAGTATGTGCTTAAGAGAAATATATTTTACTTTGTTTCATTTGATTTACATTGTCAACCAAACCAGTGATTCTTTTAAATAAGAAAATATATCGTCCTTGACATGCTTTTGTTCTGACGTGAGCGCAAAGATATTTGTTCCAAGTTTGCATCTCATACCGGAAAACTAATACAAGAAAATAAATTATTATCAGTTTTGTCAAATTGATTTGCTAAGTTTTCTTATGTACAAACAAGTTGCTATCAAATAAAAATTGAATATAAATATAAATAATTCAAACATTCTTAGACCCATCGTTATGTTTGATATCGCCCTTGGTACATTTTAAATATTTATATTCCAATAAAACTAAACTGTTTTTCTGTTAAAGCTGTTTAATCTATGCGCCAAAATAATTTTTAAAATTTATTTCCTACACTTGGGATCTATTTGGTTCAACAAATCGGCCAATTTATTAGGATTTCTAAGAAAAAATTTTCACAACGTGCAAGAACGTGTTGCTGAATAAAAATGAAATAGGATATTTAGGAGATTGTTACAAATACATACAAACCTATGAAAAGCTCATACTTAAATATTCACAAAAGCTTTTTTCAGTCGATCTACTTCAAGTTTGACACATTTAAAAAATATTGCGTCACCACACCAATTTATTATCTACTATAATTTGAAAGAAATTGCTGACGTTCGCGTTCGCAAACGTTACAATAAGCGTTGAAGCGATTAAACATCGACATAAATATGTGTTTACTTTTCAAACAAATGGCGACAAACGGGCAGACATATGACATTCTTTTCCTTTTAAGAGCAAACAAGTTTATCTATTTCAAACATATTTAAAAATCTTAATTTTAAAGTTTTATAATTTATGAGGTCATTATATTTACAACCCATGAGAGACGTAACCGAATAGCTTTCTGTTGTCACCTAGTGCTGAAATCACAAATTTAAAGTTCTAGTAGAAGTAGAACTGAAATTTCCAAAAAGAAACATAACTCTTGTTTCATGTGAATATTATTGCAAATTTTCGAAAATAACTATAAATGAATAAAAGGTTATGATGACAAGAAGCTAGCTAGAAAAAGTTGGATTTGAACAAATTATTCTGCAAATGTTAATGCGATGTGTGTGCCCGATTTAAAAAACAATTGAATTGAGGTTCCGTCCCGCCCTTTTTGCTTTTAAATTTGGCCATAGCAAATAATCCGTTTTTACAGAGCCATGAAGATTCAAACGGCTAGAACATATTTATGGCTCTTTAACCGATGATTGAAAAGAATTTTTAAGCAAATAAACTTGTCCAAACTTACTGTCCTGTTAGCCTAACTAAGCGCGCAAGTCGACGTGTGGAAGGTGGACGTCTTGTTTACGATTACATTGTGACATAACAATTCAAGCGCAATTAATAGATAAAATAACAAAACAACAAATGCGTCAAGACCTGCATATAAAATATTTTTGGTAATACTCCTTGCAAGGCATAGAATTTCATGTACTACAAGTGACCACTATATTTAGAAGTAACATACGGTTTTACGCCAATACTGTTTGTATGTGTACCGGGACTCATAAATGCCATATGCCATGCAAGAGAACTGACAAATATCTGACCTGAACAACACAAATAAAGTGACAAGTATGTGCTTACGAGAAATATATTTAATTTTGTTTCATTTGATTTACATTGTTACCCAAACCAGTGATTCTTTTTATATAAGAATAAATAGCGTCCTTGGCATGTCTTTGTTCTGACGTTAGCGCAAAGATATTTGTTCCAAGTTTGTATCTCATACCGGAAATTTAATACAAGAAAATAAATTATTATTAGTTTTGTCAAATTGATTTGCTAAGTTTTCTTATGTACAAACAAGTTGCCATTAAGTAAAAATTGAATATAAATATAAATAATTCAAACATTCTTAGACCCATCGTTATTTTTGATATCGCCCTTGGTACATTTTAAATATTTATATTTCAATGAAACTAAACTGTTTTTCATAAGCTGCTTAATCTATGCGCCAAAATAATTTTTAAAATTTATTTCCTACATTTTGGATCTATTTCGTTCAACAAATCGGCCAATTTATTAGGATTTCTAAGAAAAAATGTTCACAACGTGCAAGAACGTGTTGCTGAATAAAAATGAAATAGGATATTTAGGAGATTGTTACAAATGCATACAAACCTATGAAAAGATCATACTTAAATATTCACAAAAGCTTTTTTCAGTCGATCTACTTCAAGTTTGACACATTAAAAAAATATTGCGTCACCACACCAATTTATTATCTACTATAATTTGAAAGAAATTGCTGACGTTCGCGTTCGCAAACGTTGCAATAAGCGTTGAAGCGATTAAACATTGACATAAATATGTGTTTACTTTTCAAACAAATGGCGACAAACGGGCAGACATATGACATTCTTCTCCTTTTAAGAGCAAACAAGTTTATCTATTTCAAACATATTTAAAAATCTTAATTTTAAAGTTTTATAATTTATGAGGTCATTATATTTACAACCCATGAGAGACGTAACCGAATAGCTTTCTGTTGTCACCTAGTGCTGAAATTACAATTTTATAGTTCTAATAAAAGTATTGAGCGACAACAGCGATTTTATAGTTGTAAGGTTACAAATACTTTGCAAATAGGAATTCCGAAACATATAACAGCATCTGGTTTTTCGTTTTCAAGTACTGTATATTTTGGTACTCTGATGCTGTAAGAAATTACCAAAACTAACATGATGCTCTTGTTAATGTAAATATTATTGCAAATTTTTAAAAATACTCGTTAAAAAGAGTTTATATAATGACATGAGCCCCATAATTGTTTCGGTACATTTTACTCTTTATAAATTTGAAATGTGAAAGTTGCCTCTCTAAAACAGACAGTTGGTGATAAATTGACAAATATAAAACTAATTATTGACTGAATTATGAAAAAAATGGTCAAAAATTATGTGGTTCGATTGTTTAGCATTTGATTAATTACTTTACCAAATAAGAGTTCGCGTCAACATACGAGCGTAGAATGTGTTCTTAGTTTCATCAAACGTATAACAAAAATCTGAGTATAAATACCTTGGCGTTATATTCGACAACAAATTGAAGTATAAAGCTCATGTAGAACATGTAACACACAAATGTGATAAAAGATTAAATCTGTTGAGACTTTTGACAGGCACAACATGGGGAGCTTCCCGAGAAACTTTGCTTAAATTATACAGGGTATTAATACGGTCAATAATTGAATACGGAATAGAAGCTTATTATTTTGCACCAAAGTATGTAATTAGGAAAATATCGCTGTTACAAAATAAATCTCTTCGTATTTGCTGTGGTGCTTTGCCCAGCACCCCGATCTGCTGCCTAAATGTTACCTGTAGAGAGATTCCGATTAAATTTCGTCACCGACAGGCTTGCATGAGATATAAGAGCAAAACTTTTATCGATTACGCAATATCCGAATACCAACATAATAGAACAAACATGGCACGAGCTTTACCCGAAGTCACCCTTGTTTCAAACCTTCAACATGCTAACCACATCGGATGTTTTCAAGCAAATTTCGGTTAACCGTGTACCCCCTCTTCAGTCACCTCCTTGGGAAATGGAACTTCCAAATATTGATGTGTCGCTCGCGAATATTATTTCGAAAACAGATCCGTTACCTATAAGTAAACTAATATGTGATGAATATATTACTGAGAATTACAGTCAATACTTGTTAATTTATACGGACGGATCAAAGACGGATACAGGATGTGGTTCATCATTTTGTATTTTAAAGTATGACGTCTCCAAATCTTTTACACTTGACAAAAAATTAAGTTCGTTTACAACTGAACTTTATGCCGTGTACAGAGCATTGCTTTGGATAACTTTGCATCGGCCGTCACGTGTTTTAATTTTGACCGATTGTCTGAGCCTTTTACAAGGATTAAGTAAAATTTACTTTGTTAATCATATGTTGTTTTTTAAAATTAAAACTATTCTATCTTCCCTCAGGAGCCAAAATATTTTCGTAGATTTCGTGTGGATCCCAGGACATGTTGGAATTGCTGGCAACGAAAGAGCAGACAAACTAGCAAAAGAAGCAACAATGGACGGAAGTATTTTAACGTCTGTCATCAATTTCTCGAAAAACGAAGCAAAGTCAATTATTAATGCGAAGTGCGAAATGGAATGGAATAACTATTATATCACACTAGAAAAAGCTCAACATTTCAAATTATTCTTCCCATCGATTAAAGTACATAATTCCTGCAAATTATCTAGAAAATATGAAATACTATTGTTCAGACTACAAACAGGCCACTGTCGTCTGAACTTTCATCTTCATAAAATTGGACTCCACGAAAGTGGATTTTGCGACACCTGCACGGAAAACGAAACCGTCGAACATTTAATATTAAATTGTCCCCGTTATAACTTCCCAAGATCAATTTTACTTAATCATTGCAAAGAACTGAATATAGGCCCCGTGAATATTATCAATTTGCTAACAAATCCCAGAATTATATCATTTGTTATAGAATACGTCCTCGTAACGGGTCGAAGCATTTGAGCACCAAACGCTTAATATCACAGTCCTGGTGCACAAAACTAAGCCAGTTATAAGCACCATATAAAAATAATAATAATAAACGTATAACAAATCCTTATACAGTAACGAATCCAATTTTACAAAATACTTTTATTCGCGTGATTAAAAGAGACACAAGATTTAGAAGCTATTCACTCTTTCAAGTTTCATTAAATATATACATGTACTGTTACCTAAAGGTAATTCACTTTGCGATTAATCACAATGAAGTACTGTTGCAGCGTAGGACTCTCTAGTTAAATTTCACAAAATATATTTTTCAAAGTTCCTTTTAGTCGTTTTTTAAATTGAATATTTTATTATATAAGTTTTGACAAGTGTTCTCTCTTTCTTTTGTTTGTAGTGTTTGTTCGGAAATCACATTTACGAGGCATCATCCTAAACTACGCGTTCGAACGGCTTCAAAGTAACATTTATATGTTATAAACATTAGAAATGAAAGTTGCTAGATTCGTATCTTTTGCATGATTCATGGCGTGTCAATTTATTGTGGAAACAAACATTCAACAAAAATGCATTATTGCAACGCCTAAATACTAGTTTTTTAATATATAGCTGCATTTTCAGATTTTCGTTCGTAACCGAGTGTTCATTAATATGGTCTTATCGGCTCTCATCTTAAAACGAAATTTACCATCCAGCGCCATCGCCTAGAATAAACATCAACAATTACAATTTCGCACTTGATTATTATTTTAAATATTTTCAACTGTTACATCAACTTGAAATTGGAAAATGAGTTAATAAATCCGTCAAAGTTTCCCTCATAGAGTAACAAGTTTATATAAAGTAAAAATCGAGTATAAATATTAATAATTCCCACATTCTTAGACTCATCGTTATTTTTAATTACGCTATACTTCCTTTTAAATATTTATATTTCAATAAAATAAAACCGTGTTTAAAAGCTGTTTAATCCCTGCAGTTAAACGACTTTTAAATATGAATTTTCAGTTAAAAAAAATAAGCCAATTTATTAGGATTTAACAACACGAAAAAATTATTGTGTTGCTGAAAAAATGAAATGGGATGTTTACGAGGGCGTATCTTGGGTGTCGCTGCTCGATAACCAGTTTTGGTTCCTCGTGGCTTCCCTTCCCCAGTAAAAATGGGTGTTGAATTTTATTTATTTTTTTATTCCGCATGTTCGTTTTTAATGGATGAAGAAAAAAAATTGACTATGACTAGGACTACTATGTACAAATCTATAAAAATGTTATACTTTAATATTCTCGGATCCATTTCTCAGTACATCTGCAATAAAATTGATATATTTAAAAGATATTGCGTCACCATACCAATTTGTTATCTAACGTAACTAACAAGAAAATGTTTAACTACAAAGCAGGGAGGGCTTACTTTCGCAAACGTTGCAATAAATTAAGTTGAAGCGATAAAACGCCGACATATATATGCGTTTACTCTACAAACAAGGACAGCCAAAACTGCAGACGTCGGACATTCTTTTGCCTTTTATGAGCAAATAATTTTATCTACTTCAAACATATTTAAAGGTCCTATTTTATGTTTTATAATTTATGAGGTCACTGTAGTTACAGCCTATAGGAGATGCAATCGAATAGCAATCTGTTGTCCCCTAGTGCTGAAATTACAATTTTAAAGTTCTAGTAAAATTAGAACTGAAATTTCCATAAAGAAACATAACTCTTGTTTCATGTGAATATTATTGCAAAGTTTCGAAAATAATTATAAATGAGTAGAAGGTCATGATGACAAGAAGCTAGCTAGAAGAAGTTAGCTTTAAACAAATTATTCTGCAAATGTTAATGCGATGTGTGTGCCCGATTTTTAAATTGAGATTCCGTCCCGCGCTTTTTTGCTTTTAAATTTGGTCATAGAAAATAATACGTTTTTACAGAGCCATGAAACTGCATACGGATGGAACATTTTTATGGCTCTTTAACCGAAGATTGAACAGAATTTTTAAGCAATTACCAAGCTTACTTTCCTGTTAGCCTAACTAAGCGCGCAAGTCGACGTGTGGAAGGTAGGGATGGGACGAGTCCGGCATTACAGATTGAGATTTGACGAATCAGAGTAATAGGACAAGGACTCGAATCGAATCTGTCGAGCTCGTGACGTCATAATGGAAAAGCAGAAAAACACTATTTTTGACCATGCTACAGCAACGTGCGCTCACAAACATACGTCGTAGCTCATACTACTGTTAATTCTAGGCGGCTATTCCGAAATTCTTACATGCCAATATGAAAAATAAAAAGCTTCTGACTACAATGCTTCTACATAATTCCGAATACTTCTTATTATGTCGTGTGCGCAAATGGTAGATGCCACTCGTCAATACAATGCTGTACATCTGATTGCAATTCAGTAGTGCATGTAAAAATTCTAACATTTTCCATGTTTTCCATTGCTCCCTCTTTAGGGAAAAGATTGCACGTAATAAAGTCGATTTTAATGAGGTATTAATAAATTCTCCCCTAGGTTGATCCAGAGCATGTTTCTATTTTACGCGAATCGAAGACTCAAAAGTATTGCGCTAATGTTCACGTGTATACCAAAAAGAATATATAGTTTTTGGAGGCGACTAGCGGCGACATCATTGTTATGAGCGATCAATAGTTTTTGACATGAGTTTTAATTGGTTAATGCAAGGGTGGGCAAAGATTTGGGACCGGGGGTAAAAAATTTTGCCAGGTGGACGTCTTGTATACAATAACTTTAGGACATAATAACACCATTATAACGTGACCGGCTTAGCGGTGAAACGCATCGGCGTATTTAGTTCGAGTAAACGTTTTCAGCAATATAGGAGCAATATTTTTTGTCTAAGAAAACTGAACTAGCACGGCTTAACAACCCAAGTATCAATTTGTAAAATGAATATTTTAGCACCAGTCATGCATATTACGGTAGTTTGAAACTTCACTTGCAACTTCTTTTTACATTTTGCTTTGTATATTGAAATGAATTTCAAACATTCCAAACACTGATATCAAACATTAAATATCCAAAGCTACAAATCATATTTCAAATAATATAAAAATACCATAATTTTAAAAAACACTCCAAAATCCGCTTGTTACAAAATTGTAAGTGAATTGCTTACTATAGTTTTTTCCTATACTAATGTGAATACAATTGATATAATTATATAATAAAATGAAACTATTGAACAATTACGAGACTTAGAAAATAAATTTATTACCAAAGCAAGTACAAAGCTCAAAACACAGGAAATTTTTTATTCAAAAGTTAAAATTCAACTACTGGTTCAAATAATGTACAATGTATTCTGCCTAGTTCAGCAATGCTGTACAAATAGACTAAACTCTGTGGTATAAGGAAACTTATATAAGAGTAATTTTAACACTCGATGATGTTAAAAACACTTTTAAAAATAAAAATTTCTTCTGCTGTGAAGCCAATAAAGCTTATAAAACTAGCAATATTAAATATAAACACAAAAGTCCAACATTTCAGATCTAAAAAATTTCCTGTTCACTAATAAATTGACATAAATTTTGTTAATGTTAATCATTTTATGTTACATGAGTTGAATATTTCAAATGGTACGTGAGATTTTTAACGTGCTAATTTCAAAACAATGTTTAAATTTACAAATATGTTAATTATTTAAAAATGTGAGCAGAGGTATAACATTTTACAATATAGCAAGATCGTATTATTCAAGAATAATGTTAAACCAATCTGTCAGTTTGACTAGACTTTTCTATATCAAAAGTTTTTTTAAAGCAACAATATTTAATTGCGTTGAACAAAAATTGCTAAATTTCCGATCCTTTCCAAAGACTTATTTATAGATAAATTTAACGTCAATTTTTTGACTACGACGAGTATTGTCACACTTTTAATAATTAATTAGATTCTCTGGTAGCCATCTAATAAAAACTATTGATTGGCTTTAAACGAAACATGATAGTTATAAATATTTAAATAGCTTCATTTCAAGGCAATTGTGCAATGCACTTCTATTATCAATCTGGCCTTCTTGCTCGAAATCACTTGAGCATATCTGCTTTCTAAAATTCTAAACTAATAATTTTTTTGAAAAGGTAACAACCTAACAAGAAGGAGCCAAAAAATAATGTAAAATATCCAATAAAAGAGAGAGATAAACCTAAATAGGTATTTTACATTACCAGCAAACATTGAGCACCTTGTTATTGCGTTGTCTTGCTATGTATTTAGTTTTTATTGCGCTCTTAAATCCATGCGTAAATATCCGGTAATCCAAAACGCAACTACTAATTGCAAATTGATCTCAAAATTATAATAATATTTCCACTGTGAAAGTTCCAATTTGTACGAGTCTTCCTGCATAAAAGCCTGTTCAAAACTCGCAGAATATTACAAATGCAACCAAAAAAAACATTCAATATTCAAAATGGCATATTCATAATATGTATTGTAATACTTAAATGATAAACAAGAAGCATCAGATATTAATTATCATTTAAAGTAGCAACACAAAAAATTACACAAAATTAATAGAAAGGCTATTACTGCTATGAACATTTACGAATTTAAGGGCCAACTGACGAAAAACTAAAATGAATTGATTTATTCATTTTTAGTTAAATATGCTTGAGCTTATCAGGTCAACATCTCAGCTTAACGTTAATTTTAAAATCAAGTTTATTTCGTTCAATAAATAAAGCTGTTGTCTTATACACAATATTTTTCCTAATAAATATATATGTTTTTATTATTTTATATATTAATACTTCAGATTTCTCCCAAAATCAAGAATACGCCATCTAATTATTAGGTATAATCATTGCCTTTGACAAATCTAAAAAATGCAACCTGACAATTGTGCTATACCATATTAGTAACAGTAGAGCGATATATTAAAGTTACTCGTACAATGTATTGCTCCGATCAGTGACATAAAATTTGTTAATGATTAAATGTATCATATTGTTTTATATATTGTTACCACGCGTAAACTATAATAAAATCGATAGAGATTACGCTTGGTCAATGCATGATGTGTTTA